GATACAGTAATGCCTTGGTATTCAAATGATTGGAAACTCATCAAATTTGGTACTCAATACATTTTGACATGAATAGTTTGTTCCTGTACTAGTACTCATCATTTGGTAGTTAGTGTGCAAGCTAGAACCTGCTGGTGTCCATTGCGCTATGATTCTCTATCCAACAAAAACACTTTCTTTGGTATTTATCATTTTTGTACTCATATTACCCAGAACCAATTAACAATGACGATGATGGTACCACTGTAATTTGTAATATGTGTGAATTTACTCTAAAAAGACTACTCAAGAGTAACCCTCCAAATCCATCACACACATGCATGCGCGTGCGCACGCACACACACCCTAAAGCACATATTTGAATCAGAGATAATTCTAGCATACATTTAGGAGTGACTGATAAGTAGGTGAAACTGATAACTCAGCAGTCACATTTCAATGGTGTTCCCTATGGTCATCAGATATAAACTTTATTGACCAGATCATATACTATTATGATATTTAGAAATTTGAGAAACTGAGCAAGTCAAAGGTTTCTTTTACCAAATTAGAGTTCTTCAGTTTAAAAAAATACTTCTTAGCTGGCTGTGGTCATATGTATGCATCTGTTGTGTCACCTACTTGGGAACCTAAAGCAGGAGGATCACTTGAGCCAGGTTCCAGGCCAGCCTGGACAAAATAGTGAGATTCTGTTTTTCTTTTTATTCTTTTTGGCAGCAGAATCTTGTTATATAGTCTGTGTTCACCTTGAGCTTACTATGTATCCCAGGATGGCCTTGGAGATGCAATCTTCCTGCCTACGTATTATCAAAGGCTGGGATTACACGTGTGTGCTACCACACTTAGTATGATACTTTGTCTCTTAAAATGTTAAAAAAATTTTTTAAAAAATAACAAATTATAGCGCCGTAAAAAGTGGCTTTCCACGTGCCAAAAACTAAAACGAGACACATGTCTGTCACCATGCAGTAAACTGAAGTAAAAATGGATTGAAGATCTAAATATTGAAACAAAACACTAAATATACTGGAAGAGAAAGTAGGTAAAATCTTGAAACAAAACACTAAATATACTGGAAGAGAAAGTAGGTACAAATCTTGAAGACATAGGGGTAGGCAGAGAGTTCAGAAACAAAAACCAAACTGCAAGGGAAATGCTTCAAAGAATCAACAACTGGGACCTCATCTTATTAAGAAGGTTTTGTACACCAAAAGAAATCACCAACAGAGTGAAAAGAAAACCCACACAGTGAGAAAAAATTTTAGCCAACTGTCCTTCTGACAAAGGACTTCTATCTAGAACAAATAAAGAATTGAAAAAAAATTTTAAAATTTAAAAAAAAAATTAAGAATTGAAAAAAATCAGGCACCCAAAATTCAAAGACCCAATTCAGAAATGGGCATCTGAGATGAATACACACTTCTCAGAAGAAAAAATACAAATGGCACGTAAATATATGAAAAAAATGTTCAATATCATTAGTCATTCAAGAAATGCAAATTAAAACAACCCTGAGATTCCATCTCACCCCAGAAAGAATGGCCATCATCAAGAAATCAACTGATAACAAATGCTGTAGAGGCTGTGGGAAAAAAGGAACCCTTCTCCACTGCTGGTGGGAGTGTAGACTGGTGAAACCACAGTAGAAATCAGTGTGGAGATTCCTCACAAAACTAGGCTTAGAGATCCTACTTAACCTAGTTATTCCCCTTCTGGTTATTTTTCCAGAAAAACTGAAAACTTCATACCACAGTGATATACGTGTACTCATGTTTATAGCAACACAATCTGTCATAGCCAAATCTTAGAAACAACCCAAATGCCTATCAATGGAAGAATGCACAAAAAAGGTGTGGTATTTTTATACAATGGAGTATTACTCAGCTATAAAGAAAGATAAACTTGAGGCTTTTAAAGGTAAATTCATGCAACTAGAGACCATACTCATAAGTGAAATAAAACAGAGCTGCATATTGTCTCTCAAGAACTGAAAGAGTAAATAAAAACCAAAAGGTACAATAGATATTGTGAAAAGGAAAGAAACTGCTCAAAGGGAAGGAACAACTGGGATGAGGGAAAGGAGAAGAGAAAGATGGGAGGGAAAATATACACATATATATGTATATACAAGGATAGCTGGGATAACTGTACTGCTGATGTCTAGTGGTTTCATGAAAGGAACAGTTAATATTTAAAATTTATTTTTTTATTTTTATTTATTTCTTTTTTTGCTTTTTTCTTCTTGAGCAATTTTACATGCTTATACTGGTAATCTGAACAACTAATTTGAAGATAACAATGAGCAGTGTAACAACCATTGTTGAATTCCTACCATCTTGTTTAATGAAGCGCTGTACTGTTTCTAATGATTTTTTTTATTACAGTTTTTTCCTCTTCAACTGTTTGATCAGTCATGCATTTTTACATCTGGTAATCTGGGCAACTTCATTGAAGATAACAATATGTAATATACCAACCACTGTTAATTCCTATTATTCTGTTTTGAAATCCTGTATTGTTTTTATTGTTTTTGCATTGTTTTATTTTTGTCTCTGTTGTTGTTATTTTGTTGCTTTTTAATTCTCTTTAAAATAAAAAAATAGTGTATGTTTGTGATATATATAAATACACTCATCACAGGGAACTGGTAAACATACATATTGAAACGTGATCCTTTTTATTTATCTTTCCCCTCTACTCCTGAGCCATCTCCCTTCTCCCCAGATCCCCTTCCCATCTTCACAACATCTATCGCCCAGTTTCCTACCATCTTTTATTTTGCTCTTCAAGTTATTTATATTTTGGCTTTCTCAAATAAGAGAAATCAAATGATACTTAACTTTCTGTGCCTGGTTTATTTCCCTTAGCATTTTTGTCTCAAGGTCCATCCATTTTTCTGCAAGTGACTTCAATTTATCTTTCTTTCTAGCTCTGTAGTACTTTTTTTAAAAGATGGAAACAATAAAAAGTACTCTTTAAGCAGTTTGATAATTGATTGTACACTTCTCTAACTTAATTATACTCAAAATGTCTTTAGGAAGCTCAGGTTTCATAGTTTTTTAATAAATAATAATCTTTACAAGATTAGTGGAACTTCTCTAGCCTTCAGCTTTGATCTAGTTCATGACTGATAGAATTAAAAAATGTTTTATACATGCAGGATAATAATTTTAATACTCTAAAATATTAAAGATATACCTTAGTCATCTTTCTATTAAAGTACCATATCCCCTTTATCCTCTTTTAAAATGTCATGCATTTATACCTTTGTGTATGATGTGTATGTGTTTTTATATGTTTATAGGTATATGTGCATATGCGTAAATATGTATATATGTTTTTCTTTTCTAAAAGCAATTTGATTTTGTCAATTAGCGTTAAAAGCAACATTATCAACAATGCACATACAAAGTACCTTATATCTGCAGTGCTTTAAAGAATATGATTCAGATTTCCACAACAGAGAAAGATATCGGGAAAACTTTGTTAACTTAAAAACCCTCAATAGTAGATATATCAACTCTCCACGATGAATGGAATCATTACATACTACAAATATGTACATGAAATTTTTTTGAAAACCTCAATAGTTTTGTCATCAAAAATATTAAAAATGGCCAAAAAGCACATGAAGAGGCAGTCAATATAATGTATCATCAGGGAAAGGCAAACTAAATCACATGGAACACCATTAAACACCTACCAAACTAGGTAAAATAATTTTTATTAGGGCATGAAAACACTAAGTGTTGACTAGGTAGCAGAATAACTAGAACTTCTCATATACTGCTGGTGGAAAAGCAAAATTAAACACTTTGGAAAACTGGTAGATTTCCACAAAGGTAAACATATACTTAACATAAAACTCAACAATTACAAACCTGAATTTTCATTAAACTGAAGGAAATATCCATGTTTACAGAAAAACTTTTACATGAATATTTAGAGCAGCTTTAATTTTAATTCCAAAACTTGGAAACAACTCAAATGTCCCTCAGGTGGAACTAGCTCAGCAAGCAGTAATACACTACTATACTCAACTACTTCTACAGAAATAAAAAGGAACAAAGTATGGATATCTGCACTAACAAAGATGAATCTCAAATGCATTTCACTAAGTGAAACAAGTGACATTCAAATAGCTACAAAGTGCTTAGTGATAGAGCAGTTGCCAACCATGCATGTGGCCCTGAGTTAAATGTTCACTACCTCAAAAATGAGTAACAAAAAAAAAAAAAAGGAGTACAAAATGTGTGACTGCAGATGCAGTTCAGTGGTACAACACATGCTTAGTCTGAACCCTGATTTTGATCCCCACACGAAAAATTAAAAATTCAAAAAATTCAAAAACATAACAAAATGTGATTCTACAAATAAATTTGTGGCAGGGTACATACATGTGTGTGAGATAAAAAACGGTTTTGTATCTTGCCGATCTTTCAGCTGTCAAAATTGTAGAAATGTTCCCAAATATTAGCACATCAAGAATAAAGAAAATAAGAAAATACAGTTAATATAATTCCCCCTGAGATAAGCGTCTGTCAAGGAGACACATGCAGGACTTAAGAAAATCTAGAACATGTGGTCATTTTTAAGAAAACTTTTTGAAGAAACAACATATTTTCCATAGTGGCTCTTTCAATTTACATTCCCACTAGCATGGCATAAAATCTGCATTTTCTCCATATCCTCTATAATATTTTTATGCTTAATGTTCCATTTCTGGAATACCCATAACAATGGAACATAATAAATTTTTTTCTCATAAAAAAATTCTATACGTGCAACCAGGTATGGTGGTGCACACTTGTAAATTTCAGCACTCTGGGAGGCTGAGGCAGGATTGCAAGCTCCAGCCCAGCCTGGGCAACTTAGTAACTTAGTAAGAACCTGTGTTAAAATATAAAATGGACTGGGGATTGTAAGTCCGTGTGAAGACCTTGATTTTAATCCCCACTAATGAAAAAATAACCTACAGATAGAGAGAAAATGTTTCATACCTCACATTAGTTTCATCATTAAATTCTTCAGCCCACTTCTTCCTTGACTGCGCAGTAGTAGAACCATCTAAACGGTAATAGTCAATGTTTCGGAGCCACTTCCCTTCACCTGAAAATTTAACAAGCAAACACAAAAAGGATTTGATAGTAGTAGATTTTCCTCCTTGCCAACCACTTACAAGTGGGTTATTCACAGTCTATTTGTATAGTAACACACATACTTTTTTTTTTTTTTTGTCTTTATGAGGCAGGGTCTCACTACGCAGTTCAGGCTGGCCTTGAGCTCACTTTGTAGCCCAGGCTGGTCTCAAACTCATGAAGGTCCTCCTGCCTCAGCCTCCCCAGTGCTGGGATTACAGGTGTGGACCATCAAGCCTGGCCACACATACTTTTCTTAATCAAGGGGTACTTATTGTATTACAAATAAATTCACCACAGGTTTCTTTCAAGTAGATATTGATAAGTGTACATATTTTTAAAATGTGTTTCATCCATAGGAGAATTCTTTTTCTTTTTCTTTTTTTTGACATAGGATCTTGCTTTGTAGTTTAGGCTGGTCTTCAACTCACTATGTATCCCAGGCTAGCTTTGAACTTATGGCAATCTTCCTGCGTCTGTTTCCTGAGTGCTGGGATTACAGGTGTATACCACCACCACCACACCCAGCTAGGAAAATTCCTAAAAAGTGTTTGTTTAATTAGAATCCTTTAGAACTCTTTCAAAGTTTATGACTAAATTAATTACACTTTGTTCATAGGCTTGCTTTTAATTAAATTACTAACTGGACAAATTTTTGCTCCTTTATTAACAACTAGATAATAATCAGATAAAAACCAAAACCAAAGAATGCTTTTATTCATTCACTGAGCAAGTATTTACTGAGGGCCTATTATGTGCCAAAATTTTTTATTGTTTAGTCAAAAATTTCAGCACATATCCCTTTAATGAGTATTATTTGTGTGTATGTGTGTGCATGCACACACATATGAAGATATGAATATGGATATGAAGACTGAGACGTACAATTCAGTGACTCAACCTGTCAACTTCTAGACAATGAATGCCTCATTTCTCTGAGCATGTGCACTCCGCTCACGTGCACCCTGTATCTACCTCCACTAAGTCCTTCGCATGCCTCTTCTACTGACACGTCCTGAAAATTCTTTCTCCAGGAAGGGTGTCAGCAAACCTGCAACTTATTTTAAAAGATGGGGTTAAGTTCCTTACTTCAGCCTTGGGGACACTTAGACCTAGCCCAGTGAATTTATCTTGGCAAAGGGACCTAAAAAGAGACGGGGAGACTGTAGAGATCTCAACATTGGTTTGGCAAGTGCAGCCAAATGGTTTTTTATTTAGTTATTTTCTTTCTTTGTCCTCACTTTCCCCCAATCCCGTGGGCCCCTGGAGCACAGGTTTTCTCTGAAGCATAGTTTATCCTTTTCTTTCCTTCTATAGGCATACGGTCTTTTAATTTCTTCTGCAGCAGGTAGAGACTCCTAAGCCTCTAGAAAATGAGTGCTTCAGACAAGAGGCATTTGCTCCCTCTAACTGGAAAGGGAAAGACAGGTCAGAAGGCACAATCCGAGATATGTAGCTGTTGCAGGGTGCAACCACGGCAGCATAAAGGGTGAATGATTACTCAGACACGAGACCCAGTTCAGTCACTGAGAGGGCCAGAGGGCCTAGTCAACAGAGAGCATCCAGAACTAGGGAAGATCCCCAGGAGCAGCACCAAAGCCGAGAACTCTCGGCCTTTTATTTAGAGTTATCAGTGCTAAGAGAAGACAAGCATCTTGGACAAGAAGCTGTGTTAAGGCTAGGCACTTTTCTTGGAGAAAGGGGAAGGACAACAGACAGACACATCATGCCTCATTAATCTAAACTTCTTGTTGTTTAACCATTCACTCCTCACAAAGCCTGCACACTTTTGCCCTGCAGTTTTAATCATTCCTTCCTAGGCCAATTCCCCCACATGTAGCAGCCTCACTAAGTATTCCTTTAGGTTAATACTACACTCCATCCCTGGGTTAGATGGGACTCTGAAAAATGTAGATCATCCAGGGAGACACAAAATAAGAACGAAACCCCCATGTGGTGTCTCAAGTACAGTTTCTCATGCAGCCAGCACTGCGAGACTCAATCCTGAGGTACAGTGCAGAAAACCAGCCTCCAAGTCAAAGGGGAGGAGGCAATCTTCAAAGCATATACATCAGTGTGGACCTTAACATATTTAGCTTCAGGGAGGTCTCTAAACTGCCCCTTGGATCTCTCTGTCTGTCTGTCTATCTGTCTCTCTTTTTCAACACCAAAGGGTATAATCTCAGCCTGTTTGATGTCATAGCTTCTCTTTTCAGGGGGCTGGGAGCATGTCCTAAACTGTGCAGATTCAAGTGGTCAAGCAGGTGACAGCTGATGCTATCCACTGGAACTCCTGAGGTCTATGGACTCAGACCAAGGAGTCCAGTGGTTTGTGTTTATCCCCCTCCCATTTCCCCTAAGCAAGCCACATTCCCCTCCTTGTTCCTTGTCCTTTCTTTCCCAGTCATGCTCACATAAACCTCCTCAAATCTTTTAACTTTTGTGGAGGAGCCTACCATGTCCCACCACGTGTGGGGGGGTCGTGGCCTCTGCTTTTTTTTTCTCCAGTTTTTTGAGACAGGGTCTCGCCATATAATCCAGGCTGACTGTGAACTCATGGCATTCCACCTGTCTCAACCTCCTGAGTGCTGTGATTACAGGTATGGGTCACCCGGCTCAGCTGTTTTCCTTGATATATGATCCATAGTTAGGTAAAATCCCCAGATTTTACAAATCATCTATGAAGTTTCTTAGGTGTGTGTTATAGGTCACTGGATAGAAAGATCTTTGGGGTAAATTTTTTAGTAAAGCCCAGTTGTTGTGTACAACTTTTCCTTGCTAACCTGATCAGCTGTTGAAATAGCCATGTTCTAGGAACAAGGACACTTGTTCTAGAATGACAGAAAACAGAGTAGAGCTGCCATCCTGGGCAGTTCTGACTGCGGTAACAGAGCAGAGATGTTCTCAGGCAGTTTAGCTGCGGAGTGGGCAATACAAAAAGGTCAGCCCACATTGAGTTTTCCCCACTTTGTTCACTCTTGCATGATGGCCCATCCTCATGCCGTACGGTGTACTTCTTTTCCTATTTTTCCACAGCCCAAACTCACTCTGCAGAGCCCGTTTCTTTCCCTACCTTTAATAAAACTTCGCTACCATTTGTGCTCGTCTTAACCAATTCTTTGCTCAGTACGGAAAGAACGTAGAAACCACATCTAGAAGGAGACTACAGCATGCCAAATGTGGTAACAATAATGTCTAAAAAAGTCAATTTATTTATGACTTCTTCTTTTTTTCAGCTACAGAAAGGTATGCACATCTATGTTGAGAGAGATGGTAGGATAAAAAAGTAAGAAGAGATTGGAGTCACATTTGTGTCAGTCACTTGAGCAGGATGATTACCAAATAACCTAGCCAAAAATGAATGGAAATGATACAACAACTTTAAAAAGCATTTTAACATACTTTTTGTGATCATGCAAATGAACAATTTCTAATACCACTTGCATGAATCCAACACAAAAAAACGAATAGCCAATAAAGGTTAGCAGTTAAGAACAGACTTACCTATTCCCCAAAATTTAATCTCTATTTCACTATTTACTAACATTTCCACTTAGGGCAAATAAACTTCTTGTAGCTCAGTTTTTCAACATATAAATACGGGGATAATAAGGGTACCTATTACACAGCATTGTTGAGAAGATTAAGTAAATTTATGTAAGAAAAAAATGAAATAGTGCCTATCACACAGAAAGGTTTACTGAGTACTTAATATTCATCACTTGAGACCCCATAGTAAATTATGTCTCTATCACACCACATATTACAGACAGATGATCCTTGGGAACATGAATGTTTCAGACTTCAGAGGTATTTGAATTTTAAAATATTTGCACAGAATACCACTTAAGCATTCCTAACCTTGTAATATGAAATCCAAACTGCTCCAACATTTGAAACTTTTAAAGTATCATATCAGTGCTTTAAGAATTTTAGATTTCAGAGCATTTTGGATTCTTGGTTTTCAGACATTCAACCTGTATCGTATGTTTGATCACCCTCTATAGTATGATTTCCTATAGTACCCACTGACCCTCCCTCAGTCTCTAATACCCAATGATTGTGACAGTAGTAGTAATAATAGCAGTAACTCAAAAGACAGACTGGGCTTACAGTTTTTAAAAAGTTGCTGAAGAAAATTTATAAAATTAGAATAAACTAGTAAGGATATGAAAAAATGGTCAGCCTTACTGGTGGTCAGAAGGCATTATAAAACCACTAGAATAGCTCAGCATGGTGGCATATGCCTGTAATACCAGCACTGGGAATTCTCAGCCAGGAATATCTTGAGTTTGAGGCTAGCTTGGGCTACACAGTGTGTTTAAGGCCAGGCTATACTACATAGTGAGACCCTGGCTCAAATCAAATGAAAATAAAAACATTACAATGTTCATAAATTAACTGTGGTGATAACATGTATCTGCACATATGCTAAAATCACTGGATTGTACACTTTAAATGGGTGAATTATACAGGATTCAAATAATTATATATTAATAAAGTTGCTTAGCTGAGTACATTAGAGTATATCTAGCTACTTGGGAAGTCTAGTTAAGAGGACTGCAAGTTTGAGGGCAGTCTGAGAAAGTTAGTGAGGTCCTCCTCCAAAACAAAATAAAAAAGGTTTGGACTACAGTGTAGTACCACAAAAATTGTTTAAAAATTTAAAAGCTGTTTAAAAATGTTAATTTATTGCTGGGTGTGGTGGTACATGCCTCTAATCCCAGCACTCAGGAAGCTGAGGCAGGAGGATCGCAGCAAGCTCCAGGCCAGCCTGGGCTACACAGGAAGACCCTGCCTCAAAAAAAAAAAAAGAAAAGGAAAGAAAAGAAAAGAAAAAGAAAAAGTTGCTTTATCCTATAATTCCAAAAATAAAGACCACTATATTACTACATTAGAGATTTTTTTGTTGTTGTTGTTTTGTTTTCTCCGGTACCAGGAACTGAACTCACGACCTTGCGCTTGCCAGGCAGGTGCTTTGCCGCTGAGCTAAATCCCCAGCCCTACATTAGAGATTTTTGTTAAGGAGATTTTAGTTGCTCTTGTCACAATACAGTCAAGTATGTGAGATGACAGATATATTAATGTGATTAACTATAGAGACCATTTTACTATTTGTATCTCATATCATGTAAAATTAAAATATATATGAGAAAAATATTTTAAAAGAAGAGGAGATGTAGGTTGAAAAAGACAAGAAGTACAGGAAAAAATATATTAGGGTTCTGAGACTCTGAACAGTTTTTCTTTGTTGTTAAAATGTTTGTACAGGGGCTGGGGATTTAGCTCAGCGGCAAAAGTGCCTGCCTGGCAAGCGCAAGGTCGTGAGTTCGGTTCCCGGTACCGGAGAAAAACCAAAACCAAAAAAAAATAAATAAATAAAATGTTTGTACAATATGTTTAAATGAGTATTTAAAAATTATGCTAAACAAATATTTGTAACTCACCTTTATAAATAAGAGGTTTATCTTTATCTTCTGTTTTTTCCCTACTGGCCAATTCTAGAAAATCTTCAATCAAGTCCAGGGATATGAGGGATTGGCTAAAAACAAGACTGAAAAAAGAGATTAAAGTTCATCGATTAGAATATTTGCCTAGTAAAGATATCTAAAAATTTAATACCATTGTAATAAAAATCCCAACACGATTTTTTAAGAAATTAACAAGCTGATTGTAAAATTCATATGGGAATGCCAAGCACAGACTAACCAAGACAATTTTGAGAAAAACAAAGTTGGAGGCCTAACTACATGATTTCAATACTTAAGGTTCAATAATCAAGGCAGATTACTGCTGGCCAAAGGACAGGAACACATCAATGGAACAGCGAAGTCCAGATACAGTCTCATACAAGATGGTTAGTTGGTTTTTGACAAAAGGGTAAAGGCAATAAAAAGGGATAGTCTTTACAACAATGGTCTTGGCAAAATTGGACATCTACATGCAGAACAAAGAACTCTGTCTAAATTTCATGCTTATAAAAAAATCTGACTCAAAATAGGTAAGATATATATCCACAGGATGTTTAAAAGAACACACAGGACAAACTCTTGATAACTTTGGGTTTGATAACATGACAGTGAAAGTATGGTGAAAAAAACTGAGAAACTAGACTTCATGCCAGGTGTGACAGCACAGACCTATAATCCTAGCACTCTGGGAAGCTGAGGAAAGAGAATCGCATGCTAGAGCCCAGCTAGGCAATTTAGCAAGATTGTGCCTCGGAAAAAAAAATTCAAAAGGGTTGGACATGTTCTTCAGATGAAGGCCCTGGGTTTAATCCCCAGTACCAAAAAACAACCGGATTCCATCTAAATTACCAAGTTCTGTTCTACAAAAGATGTTGTTTAGAGAATATGAAAATTTAAAAACTCTTCCTACTAAAATTATTCCATTAAGTCAACTGCATTCTACAATATCCTGTCATTCCATTTCAAAGGTGTCTGAAAATTTCTGGTTCTAGTGTTTTTGGATTTTGGCAGTACTAAGGATTGAACACAAGACCACTGCACTGAGCTAATTTCCAGCCACTTTTTTATTTTTTACCTTGAGGCAAGGTCTCAGGCTGTGCTTGAACTTATAATCCTCCTGCCTCAGCCTCCCAGAGTGCTGGTATTACAGGCATGCTCTACCATGCACAGCTAGCCTAGTGGTTTTATAACTCCTTTTTAGCCACAAAAATTATCTGTCATCATAAAGCTTTATGTGGAATTAAAATAAAAGTGAGTTATATCAGGCACTGTGAAAAAAGAAAAACGTCATTGGTCTGTTACGCTGTTTTAGGTCACCACCTTGCAGGGGCTCAGAAAGGTAGTTTGAAAACCACTGCTCTAATCTAACCCAATGAATGATTAGCAGATGAAAAATAAATTGAATTAGTAAATCTGAAAGCAAACAGACATAACTATACATTGTAAATTTAAAAATCTAGAAAGAAAATATGGAGAATTTGTTTTCCCTTATATATGGAAACATAGTAGGTCAATATATAAGAAACTAGATACCTGTGGTAAGCAAGTTTTCTTTAAATTTTGTTTTGACTCTGACAGCTCTACTATAGGAGAGGGAGGTGCTTCTGACTCCAAAAGAACTTTCAATACTCACTGCTAGAAGTCTTCAGATTTAGTAGAACAAAAAAAAGAACAACTGAAACTATGAAACAGCTGCTGCAATTAAAAACATGCACTTTCTGAGTTGTTCATTATTGGATTCTATTATCTCCCATTTGCTTACTCATGAGGGTAAAGAAATGAATTGATGCCTGATGTTCAATTTAAATAATCAAAGCCTATACCTTAAGCTCTTCATTGATTATCTTTCCCAGGAGAACAATTTCATTGAAATAATTCATTCAGAGCTATTAATTAAATTCTTGGTGGTTCTTATAAGTGGGAAACATTTCATTTCTAAAATTCTAATTATTTAATTGGAATTAACCTGAAATTTGGGCTACTGTGCTGGAAAAGAGTTTAATCTGAGTCAGTTAGCAATTAAGGCTGCCCTGAGCACCCCTCAGCTCAGACAAGACTTACCATAAAGAACCTAAAGCATTCTAAATAGCAATGTAGTAATGAATATCTCTTTAGCTTTTACTTTTCTTTTTTTTTGTTGGTACCAGGAATCAAACTCAGGACCTTGCGCTTGCCAGGCAGGCATTGTGCTGCTGAGCTATATCCCCGGCCACTCTGTTAACCCTTTCTAGTGGAAGATCACATGAAGAATTATTATCCTGATTGATGAAAATGTCCATATCTGTATAAGCCATTTTGGTTTTTTACATATTTTATTACTAAGTCACATGAAGATACAAAAACACTACTTACCAAATTCACATAAAATAAAAAGCTAAGAATACTCGATCAAAAATTAATACTGAAATAATAGAAAGTCAGAGGGCTGTGTTGAAACCAGTGGTATACTGGCATTGACTACAACAAGCCTAGAATGGAAAGTTCATTGTTACCGTTTTTTTCCACATCTACCGTAATGTTGTTGATGTGAAACTGTCTATGATGGGAGTACGTACACTATGGAAACCAGCAAATATTATAAATCAGGGTGTTTCTTTATTATTTCCCTTTCTCTTTATTTTTATTATGGACTTGTGAAATATCAATTTTTCATTTGGGCTCAAAAGATCAGTTGCACAAATAAAGAATGAGGAAATCTCATTTGACAGCAGTTACTCTTAAAAAAGAGACAGTTTAGCAAGTTTAATATAAACCAATAATGTTATTTAGATATTAAAATGAACACCTCTATGTTCAACTGCATGAATGGAAGCATAGGATGCAGAATATAACAGAGTTAATAACTCAGCTGAAGTGTTTTGCTTATTGAGATCATATTTTTAAAGGGGTAGTTAACAAACTTTAGTATATATACAACCATGTGGTCAGGACTAAAATTATGACATACAAAGAACAGATCAAGGAAAAAAGACAGGTTAAAAGTGAGAAGAGAGATAAACACTATTTTTTTGAAAAAGACTGATTCCATACAGTAATATTTACAAACAACTTCGAAATGAACCAGCAAAATAAGAGGGATTCATGGAGAAGGACAGTTATATATAAATGTATGAGTATTTACTGTAAAATTCTTTCTGGCTGATGTCTGAATTTTTCCTTAAGATAATACTGGACAAATAATTATCACTAACCACAATTCTAGGATTGCAAAGTTTTACAGTGTGAATGAACATTGCTTTGTCTGTTTGGCTTATGAATAAAAATGATCACTATAAAAATAAAATACAGGGGCTGGGGATTTAGCTCAGTGGCACAGTGCCTGCCTGGCAAGCGCAAGGTCGTGAGTTCGATTCCCAATACGGGGGGGGGAGTAAAATACAGCTGGGGAGATAGCAAGGTGGCACAAGTGCCTGCCTGGCAAGCACAAGGTCCTGAGTTCGATTCCTGGTACAAAAAAAAAACAAAGTAAAATATGGAATAGATATGTTCTACATTAGACTTGAGGGAAAGCAACTGTAAGGATAGGGTCTAAGCTAAAGATAAGGATATGTGGTGTAACAATTTGAAGTAGTCAAACAGTAGCATTTTGATATAGCAAATATTCCATCATAGGAGAAGCTAAGAGGATACCTATTATAATGAACACAGCAGAAGAAACTTCTGCACTGGGTAGGAAATGAAGAGACTACTTTTTGCACTCTTTTAAACAACTTGAAGCCTAGAACTCTTTCTCGGATTACTCTTTTTTGAAACAGAGTCTTGTCAGTTAACTCACACTGGCCAAAACCTGTCACCCATCCTGTCTCAGCCTCTCAGCTGCTAAGATTACTGGCATGTGCCACCATGCCTGGCTTGGTTAGTTTTGTCTTATTGCACCCTATCAAGTCTTGCTTCTACTCCAAAACATACCTTTAGTCTCCATTCCTACCACTCTATCCTATGCTAACATAATCCCTCATCTGAACCATTTGTTTTTCTATAAGAATCTATTTACAAAAAAACAAAACAAAACAAAAAAACCCCACAAAAACTTTTAGTAAGCGCTCATTATAGGAATGGTGATTAATGAAAAAGAATAAAACAGCTTGCATCTTCAAACAGCTTCTTACCCAGTGGGAAGACATAAACAAACAGGTACATCAGAATGTGTTAAGAAGAATAGAGTATATTAAAAGGTAGCATGGGAATATGACAGAGTATATTAAAAGGTAGCTTTTCAGAAGAGCTAAAGAAATAAGTTCAAAATTTTTTAAGATAAATGATTATTTTATGTTAAATTATAAAAAATATCACACAGAAAATATCTATGATGAGATGCTGGGGCTTTGTAACAGCTTAGACAGTAAGTCTGCTTCAAAGTTTTACCCAGGTGCGATGGCACACACCTGTAATCCCCACATTTGCGAATCTGATGCAAGAGAATCACCACAACTTTGAGGCCAGCCTGGACTACACAGTGAATTCAAAGTATGTCTGCACGACATAGTGAGAAACCAAAACGAAAAGCAAAAGCAAAACTCCCAAAATTTAAAAATGTTTTTTGATTAATAATTTGAAAGTGAATATTGGGGTGGAGATGCAAAGACAGTGGTGGCACAAATGTTTGAAATAAACAGGAGCAAAAAACAAAGACATGCTTAAAGAATAAACAGGTAAAATAAAAAGTTTTGGAGATGTCCATTACATTTGAGAATTAGAAAGCAACCAGCAACTTTCAGGGAGGGGATGGTCTCTGTAAAGTAACAGGGTAGAAGCCACAATACAGGACTTAAAAAATAATTTTGTGAATGGCAAAGCATATATCTCAACTAAAAGCTTGAGACAAAGAAAAAAATTCAAGGAGCAATAGCTACAAGTGGAAAACAAAGAAGAAATAACCTGAATATGTAGTTAAAACTATTGTTAAAGTAACAATATTGTTATAGTAAGCTATTTGTAAGAAAGATAATTGCTTTTATTGGTCTACAACTATAATAAAGAAATTACATCTTTGGGAAGAAAACATAAAGCAAGTATTAAAAATTATTTAAAACATAGTATGGTGGGGCATGGTGGCGCAGGCCTGTACTCCCAGCACTTGGGAGGCTGAGACTGGAGGATCATTGCAAGGTTGCAAGTTCGAGACCAGCCTGGGCTACAAAATGAGCTCAAGGCCAGCCTGAACTGTATGGCGAGACCCTGTCTCAAAAAGACAAAAAAAAAAAATAAATAAAACATAGTACAGTTAATTTATATTAAAAATGAAGGAAAGGACTTACACTTTATCCCCAATTTCTTCTGCCATTCGAAGAATTTCAAAGAGAAGTACCATTTTCCCAGAATGCTCTAAAACTTCAGCATCAGCATCTGTAACAAAATCTTTGTACCAGTCTGGAGCTGGGCTGCTTGGATTAGAAGACGAAATGGCTTTGCCTAAATTAAAAAAAAAAAAAAAAAAAAAAACATAAAGAAGTAGGTAAATCAGAAATAAAACTGAATGAGACCAAGAGAAATAAGAATAGACCAACATGGGCAGAATTCAAGAAAGAAAGTGATAAAGATTTAGAAGAGAGGGTTAAAGGACAGAGACAAGAGAGACAAACAGACACACACACCGAGAAGAGCTTTACACTAAGAAGAACACTGATATGAGGAAGACAGGATAAATGTCAAGTGACAGAAAACAAGACAGGGACCCTGAGAGAGTGCAAATATGAGAGATAAATCCTGGAATGAGGGGTAGGGAACTCAGAAAGTGACCCAAAGAGATGTAACTGCCCTAGATCCTAAGAGAGAAAATCCTCAAAATATACCCCAAGAGATAGGAATAAACAGAGACAGCATCGGAGATCAAAGAGCAAAGATCTGCAGGACAGGAAACATTTCACAATTCTACTAGAATGCTGCAAAAATCAAAGAATTGATCTGAGAACTGTCTTATTATGCTAAGTCATTTTGTTATTTTTCCCACAGGCTTTCACTATAAAAGACATAAGGACAAAATATTCTATTAAAAATTTAAACATAAGTAGTTTGACTCAAAATAAAGAATATAGTGATGCCTCGGTTCATGAATGCTTTTTCTTGCAAACAATTTGGTTCCCAGACAAAATCGCTTGGCAAAATCTTGCTTTTGTTTGCAAACTCTATTTCGGGTAACAAACATGGACCACGGTCATCTTTCCCATACAAACACAAATGTGGCCATCTTTTAAAACATTGTGAAATAAATTAAGTTCATGAACCAAGGTACCACTGCATATAGGTTGAATCTGATAATGTATTTTCTTTCAGTTGCTTTATAATGCAAATTATTTTAATATCTAATATATTGTCTACAATATTTTACATACTCAGAAAAGTATACAGAATATAATGAATAGCTGTACTTCAAAATCTCATCTTCATCAAATTTTAACACCACTAAATTCTGATAAAGCTGAAGCCTAACATGTAACCCTATCCAATCTCATTCTCTTTCTTCTAAAAGGTTAATAAGCCCCTAAATTCTACATTTACTTGTATGAATTTTTTGTTATTTTTACTACATGTGTACTTGTACTCTGAACACCATCTTTCATTGTTTTTAAATCATATATAAATAGCACCACAGTTTATATCATTCTACAAATAACATTTTTACAAATTACTTTTTCACTTAATGTGGTTTCTCATTCAAAGTAGGATTTATTCATGCTTGTCCCTGAGCTCCCATTCAATCATTCTGCCTGCCATGCAGAATTTCACTACATGAATATGTCACGTATCATGAATATATCATCACTTAATAGTTCTCCTGTTCACAGACATCTAGATTGCTTCTCAGTTTTGACCCCTATGACATAACTGAAATGAGCACTTAATGTTAGTCAGTTCTACTTCTCTTGAACACTGTCCAGTTTGTTTGTTTCTTTGGTGCTGAAGACTGAACCCAGGGCCGTGTGCATGCTCAAGTGCTATACCACTGAGCTACACCCCCAGGCCCGAACACTCTCCATTTTAACTAAATTTTAAATTGTCTGGCATAATGTTATACTCACAATTTTTTTCTTAGAACACAGTCTTGCTGTGTAGTTCAGGTTGGCCTTGAGCTCACTTTGTAGCCACCATGCCTGGCAATTTATCATTTTTTTTGTCTTTTTGAGACAGGGTCTCCCTGTGCAGTTCAGGCCGGCCTTGAGCTCACTTTGTAGCCCAGGTTGGTCTCGAATTCGCAATGATCCTCCGGCCTCAGCCTCACAAGTGCTGGGATTACAGGTGTGCGCCACCACGCCTGGCTTATCATTTTTTAAATATCACTTTTCATATACTTATTTTGAAACTTTAATCCACTGGTTCTTATATCTGAAGTTTTTTAGACTATTTCAGGCTAATTGTCTAGTGTGCTAACTTTCCTTAGACTGTTAACTTTTTGTTTTTGTTGTTAACTTTTTCTAAATTGTTTCCTTCGAGTATTCTATAATTTTTATTGCCATGTTATCTTCACTGTAACTGTAACACGTAAGAATGACAGGTAGCCTTGGCTAATGTCATGTCTTCAGAGTGGTGCTGCATTTTTGTATTTACATCTTCTAGGTACCCCAAGGGATCAGCAAACCAGAATTACATTTAAGGTTACTATTTCACCAGACACATATGAATTACCAAAGCTGAATTAAGAAGATATAAAAATTCTAAATAAACCAATACCAGTCAATGAAATTGAAGATGCAAGTAAAACCCTACCGCAAAGAAAAGCCCAGACCCTGACAGATTCACTGCTGAATTCTACAACAAATTTAGAGAAGATCAAATGCTGCTATTTGTCAAACTCTTTAATGAAATTGAAAGGGAAATAATCATCCCATATTCATTCCTTGAAGCAAGTATTACTCTGGTAGCAAAACCAGAGAAGGACCCAACAAAAAAAGAATTATAAGGCATTTTCCCTAATGAACACAGATGTAAAAATCCTCAATAAGATACTGGAAAACAGAATGCAGCAAAACATCAAGAAGATTATACACCATGACCAAGTGCGATTCATCCCAGGTATGCATGGGATACTACATGATATCTCAATAGATGCAGCAAAAGCATTTGACGAAGTCCAGCACCCATTCGGATTAAAAAAAACCCTACAGAAAATTAGAATAGATGCTCTTTATCTCAATCTGATTAAAGCCATCTATGACAAATTAACAGTCAACATCATATGGACAAAAGCTAAAATCTTGCTCTCTAAAATCAGGAACAAGACAGGGGCAGACAGTATCACCACTCTTATTCAATCTAGTTCTAGAAATATTAGCCAGAGAAATTAGTTAATTAAAAAAAAGCTATAAAAATAGGAAAGGGAAAAGTTAAATTATCATTATTTGCAGATGACATGATACTCTACATAGAAGACCCCAAAGCTTCTACCAAAAGACTTCTATATTTAATAACCAAATTCACTCACATAGCTGGATACAAAGTCAATACTCAAAAATCAATAGCCTTCTTGTACATGAATAACAAACTCACTGAGAGAGAAATTGGGGAAACCAGACCTTTCACAATAGCATCTACACAAATGAAATCAATTTAACAAAGGAAGAAAAAGAACTTTACATTGAAAACTACATGCTCTGAAAAAGGAGACTGAAGAGGATATCAGAAAATGGAAAGATGTTCCTTGTTCTTGGGTAGGAAGAACCAATATAATGAAAATGGCCATATTCCCAAAATTGTAATACAGATGTAATGCAACCCAGATCAAAATATAGCATACCTCACACATTTAGAGAAAAAAACCTTAAAATTCTTTTGAAATCAGAAGAGATGTAGAATACCAAAAGCAATTCTGGGAAACAAAGGCAAGGCAGTGGGTATCAAAGTTCCTGACTTGGAATTATACTATAAATCTACTGTAATAAAAACAGCATGGTACTGGCAAAAAAAAAAAAAAAAAGACACAAGGATCAATGGAACAGATTAGAAGATGTAGAAACAACTCCAAACATATTCAGCTACCTTATCTTTGACAAAGGAGCCAAATACCTGGCAAAAAGATAGCCTCTTTGATAAATGGTGCTACAAAATCTGGCTTCCCATATGCCAAAGATTAAAATTAGACCAATGGCTGGGCATGGTGGTGCAGGCCTATAATCATAGCACTTGGGAGGCTGAAGCAGGAGTATCACTGTGAATTTGAGTCCAGCCTGGGATACATAGTGAGTTCAAGGACAACTGAACTACACAGTGAGACCTCGTCTTTAAAGAAAAAAATTTTAAAAGACCCATATCTTTCACCAGGCACTAAACTAAAATTAAAATGGGTCAAAGATTTAAATATTAAAACAGAAACATTAAATCTGCTGGAAGATAGAACAGGTGGAACCCTTGTAAGACATTGGTATATGCAAAGACTTCATGAACAAATCCCCAGATGCATAGAAACTAGCACAAAGAATCAACAACTGGGATCTCATCTTATAAAAAGCTTTTTCACAGCAAGGGAAACCAACAGAGTGAAAAAACAACCTGCAGTGTGGGAAAAAATTTTGCCACCTATTCCTCAGGCAAGGGTCTGATAGCTACAATATATAAAGACCTAAAAAAAAAAATCAGAGCCCCCAAATTTAGAGACCCAATCCAAAAATGGGCATCTCACATGAATAGCCATCTCTCAGATAAAGAACTAGGAACTACAAAAAAAAGTTCAACATCACTGATCATTTGAGAGGTGCAAATTAAAACACTGAGATTCCATGTTACTCCAGAAAGAACGGCTACTATCAAGAAATCTACCAATAACAACGGCTGACGGGGCTGTGAGGGAAAAAAGAACGCTTCTCCACTATTGGTGAGAGTATAGACTGGTGCAACCACCGTGGAAATCAGTGTGGAGATTCTGCAAAAAACTAGGACTACAGGTTCCATTAAATCTGGCTATTCCCCTTCTTGGTATTTTCCTGAAGAAATTAAAAGTATCATACCACAGCGATATATGCACACTCATATTTACAGCAGCACAGTTTGTAATAGCTAAATATTGGAAAGAACCCAAATATCCACCCACTGATAATTTTTTTTAATACAATAGAGTAGTACTCTGCTATAAAGAAGGATAAGCTTGAGACATTTCAGGTAAATGGATGCACCTTGAGACGGTACTCTTAAGTGAAATAAGTCAGACACATATGTGTAAATGTCACATTGTTTCTCTGGTGTGAGTAACCAGAAGTGTAAATAAGGACCAAAATGTATAATAGATATTGGGCAATGAGAAAAAAATGTTCCCATGAGAAGGGGAACAAGAAAGGGGTGAGGAGGAAAGGAAATGAATGATAAGGAAAAAAATGTGAAAAAATGGAAACAAATCTATTGCAAATAAAGACGGGAAGACAGGCAGAAGAAAAGAAAAAAAATTTTATAGTTTAATTTTGAATACTCTTCTGACTTCTTGGGAAAAAATAGGGTTTGTGGTTAGGCTGCCACCTGTCTATGCAACAGAGGTACTACAGAAAAACGCTGAACAAGGAATCACCAAGTTGGTTCGGCTGCAGACCAAGAGACAGTCAGTCTTATTTGACCACAGGATCATTCAGGTGACCCCCAAAATAAATCTCTTTCCACATGCTTTGCACTACAACTCTCAATTGCCAAATACTCAAAGCATTACACTGTTCTCTCTTCAGATGTTTGATATTTCATATATTCTGACATTTGAACTAAAGTTCCAAGAAAGAGTCACACTGCACTAGGAGGACATAAAGGCTCAACACTAATCCATCAGCACTAATCTGTCAACATATATATGGGTAAAGACAACTTAAACTGGTCAAGAGTTCAATCTAAGACTTTACACGAGAGGGAGAAAGGTAAAAAAATAAACAAGAGTGCCACATACTGTACATGATTCAGAGGAAACTGGAAGTAGTTAACTATTATAGGTTATAAAGAATTAGAAAAAAGACTAAATGATGAAAATTAGTTTTATTATATAAAATTAACTATAATCAAACTTCACTCCCTGAAATGCTTCCAATTATTTCTATATAATTAACTGTAAATACACAGTGGCTTGTGATTACTTAACTTCATTTGAATCTCAGTTCTACCACTTATTTATACAACTAAAGATATCAAGTACATTACAAGGTCACTCAAGAACTGTTAGCCAAAGGAAAAAAAAAAAAAAGAAAAAAGAACTGTTAGCCTACACACAGAGTCAGAATAACAGAGTTTAGGTATATGCATGTAAAAATAAACATTAGTTTTAACTTTTTTCCTTTCTTCCCAAATACCAGAGAGCACAAAGAGACTTGCCTATAATTAAACATTTATCAGATGTTTGTTGTAATTATATGTACTGGATTATCTCAGACTCTTACCACATGAGGAATGAAATTCCTTTGAGTCAAATAATAAGTGTAATAAATGACTAGATAAAGCTCTAATGACATAGTATTTTCTAAATCAATGTTCCATGATAAAGACACCATGCATTAGACTCACTTTCTTCCAGCTTTAAGGAAACTGAAGGGTTATTTCCTGCTTCATCCACATTTCCTTCACCACCTCCACGAGATCTTGAATTCCAAACTTTGATCACTTCAACATCATTGTCGCTGCCACTTCCACTTGAGCTGCTATCCTTTTTGCCCTTTTTTCCCTTTGTTTTTTTCTTTCTAAAAAAAGAAAAATTCAGAACACTAGGAAAGTATAGTAAAGATAAAAAATCAATTAACAGAAGACAATCAGCAAATAGAAGTTTGAAATCTGCCAATTCAGGGCACAAAAATATTCAACTTACTTTGTATAATCATCGGAGCTTAAACTCATGGAGGTTTCATCAGAATCTGAAGCTATAAATTCGTCCATACTATCTTCATCAAAATATCCCTAGAGGAAAAAAAATGGCAAATGTTTCAATAGCTTATTTCAGTGTATATTGGAAATAACAATGATGTTTTATTTCATTTAAGGATGAGTTAATTGACATACGAAAGGAAAGACTGAGGATCTACCATAGGCTGGAGGAAATAAAAGAGATCAAACAGAAGACTATGGAATGGGAGGACCTGGGAAAGAAAGAGGACATAAGTAGAAACAAAGATGAAGTCCAAATAAAACCCACTGTTTAATTAATAGTATTGTACCAAAGTTAATTTCTCACTTTTTATCATTTTATTATGGTTTTGCAAGATGTTAACATTAGGGAAAACTGGGCAAAAGGTACAGGGAAATGCACGGAGCTATTTTTGCAACTTTTTTGTAAGTTTATAAAATTATTTCAAGTAGGGCATGGTGGTGCATCCCTATAATCTCAGTACTCAGAAGGCTGAAATTTCAAGGCCAGCCTAGGGTACATAGTGAGATCAAGGCCAGTCTGCATGACAAAGCGAAACCCCATCTCAAAAAAACAGGAAAAACAATTAAAATTATTTTAAAATAAAGATTTTTTACTTCTGTTTTGAGACACGGTCTGGCTATGTAGCTTATGCTAGCTTTGAACTATGTAGCCCAGGCGGGCCTCCAATTTGAAATCCTCCTGCCTCGCTCTCCCATGTGCTAAGATTATGAACACTACCACATTCAGCTCAAAGAAAACTTTCTAAATGGGCTCAATAGAAGAACATTTAAAACTCCTTCCACAATCACAAGTGCATTCAAAACAAATATAAATTAACTAGAAATGTGTAAAAATGATTAAGATATGAAATGTGTATGTACCGATTCTGCAAGATGAATATAATTATTATATACTGCAAACATACATGAATAATGAAAAAGAAAGAAAAGGGGTTATTTAATGAAATACAAAATTGCTTCTAGTGTACAGTAAGCAAAAATTGACCTTTTCTCTAGGGTATTCTGCCCCAGTAGGTACCTTTGAAACAATTTTAAGAATCTGACTTACCTTATTTTCTTTGCTAATGTAGTCCAATTGTAAACACCAAGGATGAGTCCAGATTCTACTTAACATCTGAAAATCTTGGAAAAGTTTTGCACCTGCCTTTCCTCTTCCACCTTCATTGCTATTACCTACTCCTGATCAAAAGAAAAAAATAGCTGAAGAGACAAGGATTTCCTTTTTCAACTATGGTGTTTCTCAATTAGAGGTTTTAGCCTTATGTATGACCAGGACTGCTTTGAAAGTGGAAAAGCTTAAATATCTTGTGGCTTAGAATAACACTTTGAAGTGAGGTTATAAATAAAACCCATTACACAGAAATTATCATAATATTAAAAAGAAATTTGTAACAAAGAAATATGTGGTTTTAAAAAATAATATATTAAGCAACAAAATATAGTAGTAGGACTAATAATTAAAATCTGAAGTACTGATGAATGTTAATTATTTGGAAATATCAAAAACATCACATAAAATATTTTCTGATTTCTACTGATAACCAAGTTACAATTTACCATTAATACTACTGCAATTTGCTAAGCTTACACATAATTTTATAAAATGCTATCATTTTAGAAATTAGTGAAAACACACAACTTTTAAAGTTTTTAATGTACCATAAATCCTAACCATGGATCCTAGATTACAAAATTTCTGTATTAGATTAGGCATTACTCCATACAGATAGTCCTATAGTAACTCTCTCTAATTATGCTAACTTGAAAATGGTTCTTCTGAAAAGGAACTGTTTTTGAAGTACAAAATGTAAATATAAGCTTTCTTTTCTCTAGAATAATTTCAACATAATATTCTTCTATAAAAGTGAAATGATGGCTTGGCATAGTGGCGCAAACCTGTAATCGCAGCACTCGGGAGGCTGAGAGAGGAGGATAGATGCGAGTTCCAGGCCAGTCTGGGGTACAAAGTGGGTTCAAGGCCAGCCTGAACTGCATAGTGAAAACTTGTCTCAAAATAAAATAAAATAAAGTGAATACATATTTCATTAATATGATGAAATTATCCAAGAGTAAAATGCAAAAGAATGGTTAAAAGAAAAAAATAAGTATAAAGTATCTTTTTCTATCTCCAATTCTTTTTTGGAGTCTTCTGGCTCTAGGAATTGGATATAAGGTTTCATGTAAGCTAACCAAGTGCTCTAGCAATGAGTTACAACTCTGGCCCCACTATCCACTTTCTTTATTTTCTATTTTTTACCTGCAAGAAGTACTATACACCTTTATTCTGAGCATTTTAGAGGCTGGCAGGAAGATCACAAGTTTGAGCCCAGCCTGGGCAACTTAGTGAGATTCTGTCTCAAAACAGCGGAACAAAAAAAGAAAAAACAACAACAATAAAGAAAGGCCAGGGGTGTAACTCAGCATAAAGGCCCTAGGTTCAATCCCTACTATGGAAACAAAGAAAAAAATCAAAGAAAAAATTATAAAATCTTGCTTTTGTGGTACGGGGGACTGAACTGAACCCAAGGCCTTAAAACTGAGCTATATCCTCTTTTTTTTCTTTTGAGAGAGGGTTTTGCTAAGTCACTAACTTGTCCAGGCTTAGTCTACAACTTGGGAACCCTCTGCCCCATCCTTCCAGAGTGCTGAGATTACAGGTGCACAACATACAATGTAAGTTGACCAATTAGAAAGTCTTGACTAGATAAAATTTAATAACATAAAAAGACAAGGAAGCTTCAGTGGCATACATCTGTAATCCAGGCCATACACTTGGGAGGCTGAGGAGGGAGGATGTCTAGTTCAAGCTTAGCTTGGGGAATTTACCAAGACCATGTCTAAAGAAAATAAAAGAGGTGGGATGTAACTCAGTACAAATTTCATATGTGCAAAACTAGGAAAAACCTGTTATTATTTTGCCTGACAGAGGTATTTCATTGCATACAATATAAATCATTACTCTGAGAAAAAATAGTGAATTTCCTACAAGTTTAACTAGAATTTTGTTATATTCCCTTTTTATTTTTGTAAGGTCAAGATGAGACTCTCATTCTTATATTAGTTATTTGTGTATTCTCTATCACTACGTAAGTATAGCTAAAGGATTATCAATTATGTTAATCTTTACAAAGAATTTCTGCTTTCAATGATTTTCTCTATTATTTTCCTATTCTTTATATTTTTTTCTTTGTTAGGTCTTTCCTTCTGTTTGCTTTGGGTTTAGATTGCTTGTATTTTACTTATTTAACATGGAAGATTAGATTATAAATTTGGGATCTTTCTTTTTTGATACAAACATTATATATCAAATAGAGAATAAATTATTTTTTTAAAAAAATCAACAAAATTAAGAGAGGTTTTCCAAAAAATAAAACTGACAAAATCCTGGCTAGATTAAGAAAAAAGAGAGAAAGAGAAGACTCAAATCAGAAATGAAAGACATTACAACTGATGCCTCAGAAATAAACAGGATTACAAAGAACTATTATAAAAATTATATACCAACAAACTGGATAATCTACAGGAAATGAATAAATCCTTGCAAACGTACAACTTACCAACACTAAATTAAAATAAATAGCCTGAACAGAACTACAAACACAAATTGAAGTAGCAATAAAAAAAAACTTCCCAACAAAGATTAGCCCAGAAACATGGTTTCAACACTACATCTATCAGTTAAAGGCTTAAAACCAATCCTTATTAAATTCTTCCAAAAAATACAAGTAGAGAGTAGAGAGAATATTGCTAAACTTAATTTACCATGTAAGCATCGCCCCAAACTAAAGGCCAATATTACTTGTGATAACATAGGTAAAAATCCTAAATAAAATACTAGCAAAGATAATTCAACAACACATCAAAAAACATTACACACCATGACTGATGGGATTTCTTTCTGGGACGCAAGGTTCATTTAATGTTAAACAATCAGTATGATATAAATGTTAACAAATTGAAAGAGTAAAAACTAATACAATCACCTTAATAAAGAAAAAGTATTTAGGGGCTCGGGATTTAGCTCAGCGGCACAGTGCCTGCCTGGCAACAGCAAGGTCATGAGTTCGATTCCCGGTAACAGAAAAAAAGAAAAAAAAGAAAAAAGTATTTAACAAAGTTCAACATTCTTTCAAGATAAAAAAAAAAAAAAACAAAATAGGTATGTAAGGAAATTTCCTCAACAAAAGCCATTTTTGAAAACCCACAGTGGGGGAAAACTAAAGTGTTTTTCCTCTACGGTCCGGTTCAAGATAAGGATATCTACTCTCAAACTTCAATTTAACAGTGAACTTTGTGGGGAGTTTTGTTTCGTTTTGTTTTCTTTGTTTGTTTTTTTTTGTGGTAATGGGACTGAATCCAGGGCCTTTGAAGTGAAATACTTCCCCAGGCCATTTTTTATTTTATACTTTGAGACAGGGTCTTGCTAAGACTCTAAGCTGCTCAAGTGGGACTCAAACTTGAGATCTTCCTTCCTCAGCCTCCCTGAGTGCTGGGATTACAGATGTGCGCAAGCATACTTGGTTTAACACGGATTTTACATGTAAATAACTCTTAAGGATTCCACTAAAATACTGTTAGAGTAAATAAATCCAATAAAGGTGCAGAATATAAAACCAACATATAAAATCAATTTTATTACTTTGCACCAGTAACAATCTGAAAAATACATTGAGAAACAATCCCACTGATAACATCAGAAACAAAATACTTATAAACAAACTTAACCCAATGAAGTATAAGATCTGCACACTGTAACACTGATGAAACTGAAGACATAAAAAGAAACCAATTTGTCCTGTTTGTGGATTAACAAAGTAAATAGTTAAAATGTCCCACACTCATCAAAGCAATATACAGATTCAGTGCAATCCCTATTAAAATTCCAAAGGCATTCTTTTTAGAAAAAAAATCAATTCTAAAATTTGTGTAAGGTCTGGGTATGTAGTTCACTGGTAGAACACTCCCAGCATGTGGAAGATCCAGGGTTCACTCTTCAGAACAGAATAAAGTAGAATAAAATTTATTTGGAACTACAAAAGACCCCTAGTAGCCAATACAATCTTAAGATATAAAAACAATTGGAGCATACTTCTTGATTTCAAATTATACTACAAACAAACAGTAATCAAAACATTATGGTACTAACATAAAAGACCCTGTCTCAAAAAACAAAACAAGGGGGCTGGGGATTTAGCTCAGCGGCAAAAGCGCCTGCCTGGCAAGCGCAAGGTCGTGAGTTCGGTTTCTGGTACCGGAGAAAAAACCAAAAAAAAACAAAAAAAACAAAATGAAAAACCCTTGATGTAGGTCTTGGCAAGAATTTTATGGACAGCTCACTCAATCAAAGCACAGAAAACAAGGGAAAATCAACAAGTGGGACTACATCGAACTACAAAGTTTCTGCATGGAAAAGCAAAAAGATCAACAAAATAAAAAGACAATGGGTTGAGACAAAATATTTGCCAACCATGTATCAGATAAGGGGTTAAAACAGAAAATATATAGGAAAACTCCTTGAACTCAACAGGAAGAAATAAATTATAAATTTAAAAATAAGCCAAGGACTTAAATATATACTTCTACAAAGACATTAAAATGGCTGACAGGTAAATGAAAAACTATTCAACATCACCAACCACTAGAAGAGTGCAAATAAAAGACACAATGAGAGGCCAGGGATATAACTCAGTGGCACAAGTGCCTGCCTGGCAAGCACAAGGTCCTGAGTTCAATTCCCAGTATTTAAAAAAAAAAGGCACAATGAGCTGATGCTTCCTACCTGTAATGATAGTTATTATCAAAAAGACAAATAATTTTATGTGTTTATGACAAGGTAGAGAAAAACCAACCATTGCACCCTGTAGGAGTATACATTGGTGGAGCCATTGTAGAAAAGAATCTTTAAAAATCTGTAAAAAGAAAGCATAATACAACATAATATAAAGTAACATAACATAACGTAACATAACATAATGTAACATAATAATTCAACCTCACAAAGGAGATTCTATCATTTGGAAGAACATGATAATCACAAAGGATATTATGGTAAGTGAAATAAACCAGACACTAAAAGACAAGTACTGTATGAACTTATTAATATGTGGAATCATAATTGTTTTAAAGCCCTCAAATACATAGAAATGAAAGAGTGATGGTTGTCAGGGGCAAAGAAGTAG